AATACATTTCAGACCGATCTCGGCTGTAACCTTGACATTGGAACAACACATGCTAACAAAAGCCATCTAAAAAAGAAAATTTGCCTAGCAAGTGGAATAAATTGACAATTTTGTGATTTTCGTACCTGTCACGTATGAACAGTTGACAATTTCAATTTTCATTCCGGTTTGACTTCATCCCGGTCTCATGTAAACGGGGCCTAAGCCAGCGACACCACTCCCTATGAGACTCTTGTGTACTATTCTATTTTTTCGTATAGGACATTCTCGTGTACTATTCTATTTTTTCGTGTAGTTATTATCTGGCAACGTCGGCTGACGATTCTGTTGTGAAATTGTGGGATTTGAGAAAATTGAAGAATTTCAAGACGATCGCTTTGGAAGATAGATATGAGGTGAGACCATTGAAATGAATAGAACTGCGTGAAAAGACTGGGACTAGCCTTCAAGTTTGGCTTCAAATCTCCGGTTGGAGGTAGCGTTCCAGTTATATTCATTTCAATGGGTGAGACGAGATTTAGAAAGAGGGGCATGAAATTGTTGGGTTGTTTTGAATATTTGTATGCCAATCTACAACTTTTTTCTTGTTTTTCAGGTGAAATCACTTTGCTTTGATCAAGGTGGTGTGTATTTGGCTGTGGCTGGTTCTGATGTGCAGTAAGTATGACCACTGTTCGTTGACAGGGATGGATCCAGCATGATCTGGTAGGGGGAGTGTTGGGTGTGTGTTCTGCCACCTCTGGTGCAGAGTTGCGTCGAGATGGTGCCCACCCATCAACATACAGCAGTACTTGCTTGACTACTGTATTTGAACTATAATTGTTGTTCACAGTTCGCTTATCACCATGTTATTACTCAAATTACTGTATCTCATTTTGTCTCTAATATTTTTTGTTTTATCATGAAAAATAGCACCCTCTCCCTGCATCCCCTCTGGCCAGGGCTAGGGGGCGCTCCCCCAACCCCCCAGTAAATCTATCCCTGATTTTTGAATGCAATACTGTACGCTTGTCCATTCCTTTTCAGAATCTACATGGTCAAACAATGGGAGCTCTTGAAGACATTTACAGGTTTGTTTCTTGGAATTTTTTGTGGCCATTTGTGCCCACTCTTATACGTTGAAATTTGTCAATTGGCCTTTCTCACGAAGGACAAAATCCGCCATTTTGGGGGGTACTGCCTGGCGTCTGCCCTCGTGAAAGATTCTAGACAATTCAAGGCTGTAACTGTAAATTTACCATTATACAAACAACTATATAAAAAGTTGTATTTCGTGGCGCGGAGACTTCAACAAACGTGGGAGAGGCAGTACCCAAAATGGCGCAAAAACCGGCCGTGAGAAATGCTAATTAGGTAGAAATAAACGTTGGTTTGAACAAGACATGTTATCACAATATTCACATGCAACTATTTTACCACTTGCCATCAGGCATAGTTTTGCCTTCCCATATTAACAAACTTTAAAGCAAATGATTGCAGTAAGGATTGATCAATCAACATTCTAATCTTATGTTTTTCTTAACAAAGTCATATGAAGACTTTAACACGAAGTGTTGATTTCAGCTCATTTACTAGTAAAGAATCAAAAACAGAATGCATACCATAAACAAGGTTAACAAGCAAACAATTTAGTTTAGCAATTATAGTTCTGCAAAATAACTTGCCCTATCTGTCAACCAAGAAACAACTTCTACTTGTTCGTAATGATTTATACTTGCCCTGGGCAAGAAGGCAAGTGCTAAGTTACATCACTCGTTACATCATAGAAGAATTTTGCATAACTGTCGGTAGAGATTGACCGTTTCCGGATTGTTTCAGATCATTCTGGTGTCGCGACTGGCGTGAAATTTGGCAAGAACGCTGGATTCATTGCATCGACTGGCATGGACAGAAATTTGAAATTCTACGCTTGAGACAGCTGCTGGCAAGTGAAAGCAAAAGGAAGGTTTCATGTTTTATTTTCTGTGTATAGTTTCAATTTCTAGAGATTTTCCACCATTGATATTAATATTGAATGTCGCTCAGTTAACTTTCGAGTTAACCGCGTAAATGGGAAACATTGCACGCATGCGTTGCTATGTGCATGAAAAAAATGTCGTATTTTACCTGGAATGGAAGACTCTACATGCTGTAATATTTAAGAGGTTTCGGTTAAGAGTCACTCGCAAATGGGAAGCATTATTCTCACTCAAAATGTCCAGGGTTAATACCTCGTTACGAGAAAAGTACACGAATTTTATGATTCCTTGATACGGGAGCCTTGAAATTACTGATCAATAAGAAGAATTGGGAACATTGACGATTTCCTGCAAAGGCGCGCGATTTTGCATGAGATCCATCAGGAAACAAATGTTGGGAACGGAACGGGAACGCTATGCTGCTCGATTAAAGCCATTCATTTCGTCGCGAGGGTCGTGAACTATATGTCATGGTAGTGTGTATTGCGTCGGAGTTCTCTGGAATTAGTAAAAAAACTGAATTGCAAAAGACAAGAACAGATGTATCGACTAAATGTATGGAAAACATGTTTTACCACTGTAAATCCTTTACATATTTCTTTCATTGTACATTACCATTTTACGCTCAATAAAATTTCGTGTTTACTACATTTCTAATTTTAACCATGATAGTCTATATCAAGATATGATGGCATTTTGCAATTACAATTTCCAGAGTAAGAATTACATTTATATATTAATTTTATATATTGTTAGTTTGTCTTTCAATTCTCTGAAAATTATAATTGCTACCATGGCATCAAAAGTCTCAAAATTGCAAGTCTAGCTATTTTGATATAGCTTAGGTATTTTAAAGAGCGCTTGCATACCAAAGCATATTGTCCCGGGCTTATTAGGAAGATGAAACAGTGGATTAAAAAAAAACACTTCATCGACGACGCTTTAAGAAACAGATTCGTCCTTGAAACATCAACGCCTTTTGGAATATTGTTCAAACGTTCATGACCTTAGCTACAGGATGGTATAAAAATATCAAGACTTTGTTGGTATCTCACTCGATTGAATAATAGTTGGAGAGTTTTGTAGTCAGTGGGAGTTACCGAGTGGAATTCTATTTAAATGGCTTAAAAACGCATCTGATGAATTCATTGGCGAAGTAATTTTAAATATAGACGTTGCCTGAGCCGAGAATATCAAAGCTATAAAGTTTATGTAAATGAACATGATTTTTTATCACATATAAAACCACCGAGACGGTAGAGATTTTCTTTGTCTTTTCCTCATGAATTATTAATCAGCATGGGCGTCAATCCTGGGGGGGGGGCACGCGTCTCCCCAGTTTTTGGAGTGGGGGGATGAATATCTAATTATCCCCCCCCCCCCACTTTTTGACATGTTTAATGAAATTTTGCTTCTTGGTTATCCAAAAACCTAATGCTTGGTAAGCTATTCATCAAAAATTGTGATTGAAAGGAAGACATTTAATAAGAAGAAGTACAACGTATGATCTTTCTGTGGCCGCTGGGAGCAAATACTGATATCGCATATGTTATGTAAAACTGTAAATACTTAAAAATAATTGCATTTTAACTGAGTCTCCCTTAAATAGATGATTATCATTAAAATAAGGCAAATGGTTAATTTAATAGATTATTAGCATTAAAATCAGGGTGAGGACATGTTAGTTGAAACGCGCGCTTCGTCGAGAGTAACATCTGTTCACAGCCAGGACATGTTGGTTTTTAGCAGATTTCTCACATGGTTAAAAATGGATTTAAGATCATGCACATTGTATAATAACTTTATAAGTGACTCCATAACGCTGGGAATGCCGTTTCAGCGTATCAAAGTTTAAAAAAAAATTGGGGTAGCATACTTCCCGAGGGGCATTTCACTCCAAAAAAGCGTACGGGATTTTCGGATTTTTAAAAATCCGCAGATTTTTCCCGGATCTTTTAGCGGATTTTTGAAGAGAAAATCTGTTGGATTTTCCGGATTTGGTGGATTTTCCGGATTTGTTCTGATTTTTTCCGGATTTTTTGACGAAGCGTCCGGGATTTTCGGATTTTTTAGCGGATTTTTCCCGGATTTTTAGCGGATTTTTGAAGAGAAAATCTGTTGGATTTTCCGGGTTTGTTCGGATTTTTTCCGGATTTTTTGACGAGGTGTACGGGATTTTTGGAGTGAAATGCCCCTCAATACCTCCGGACCTTCCTACTTTTGGGATGGATTGACGCCCTTGTTAATGAGTTTTTAAAACATGTATATGACTTTCCACTCGATAATTTCCATATAGAATTTCCATTCGATACAAAACCCTCCAACATGGTATAAAAATAGTGTGGATATAGGATATATACATTGGATTCAGTGATAGTATATAGATTTAATTACTATTAGTTCCCGAAGTGTTTCTCTGTATAAAATTCCAGTACTCTCCTAAAAAATTCCAGAACATGCAGTCGCGGAACTCGTGATCCAACCTCTCTGCACTCTTTTCAGCAATGTCCCAAACTTATCCACGCAGTAACATCCATGAAAGTTACATTGTCGAGCTTCGTAGTAGCCATGCTCGTCGCATGATGGCGGAAGTAGGTCCACTATCTTTCCTTTCTTTACTTTTCTCAGAATGCGTCGTCGTTCTCGAAAACACGGTCCTTCTGGAAACAAAAACGTAGACGAAACTAGTGAGATTATTTCTATTTTCTTTTATTTGACTTCCATAAGAGTCCTAACAACACTTATATATAATAACTTTTGAACACACGCCCTTCGTGGAAATCAATATTTTTAATTGACGTAGTTAGCGTGTCAAAATAAAATCCATCTATCTATCTAGTGAAAAAGGATTTAGACTTTCCTTTCACACTACACTTAGCCGTCGCGTTCATCGCTGTAGCAAAATTGTTTGAAAACGTCACTTTTGCCGTAACAATTTGAGCACGATTTCTTCTGTGTTGGTGTAATGTACTCAGGTGAATATGATGCTTGTGATGTTACTCTGAGTGTATATCCACACCGCGCAAGCTTGAAAAATATGCCTGACTACGGTGGGAATCGAACCTACGACCTTTGGAATACTAGCCCAATGCTCTGCCAACTGAGCTACGCGGTCAGGTTGGTTCGAGTATGTGATATTTCGGAACCGAGTCTACTTTTTTCGATATCAGTGTAATCTAGTAATCATGTATTCCAAAGTCGTAGGTTCGAATCCCACCGTGGTCAGGCATATTTTTCAAGCTTGCCCGGTGTGGATATACACTCAAAGTAACATCACAAGCAACAATTTGACCACGGTTTCTAAAACGGAGCGCTTGGTGGCTTCGAGATGAAAACGGAGCACTTGGTGGCTTCGTGTGAACACAAACGCCGTTACTTTTTTGTATCGTTTGCGAACCAAGCATCTCGGGTCTCAAAACAGTAAATTCGAATGCTTTTCGTTAATTAAATTTCTTTGCTCTATATTTGAAATATTTTGGGTTTACATGCAGAGTGCTAGTTGAAATTGTAAACAAACTGTAAGGGCGTGGTGTGAACACACGTAAATTCTGCAGGCATTATTTTGCTCCCGTATAGTGTGAACGTATATAGTCTTAAACTCTTTGTTTGTCCTTGCAAGCACCATGCGCATATAAGATAAAGACAAAGCAATTTGCTGCAAAGCTTTCCATCCGTAAGCCCGGATCGACATTCGTATAGTAACGCAGTCGCCTTTCACCCATGATATCGTGGGATAGATTCTCTCGATTGAGAGAGTCTAACCCCTTGAAACCGCTGCAGGCTATGGAGAACGCAGAGTGCGCGTGAATCGCAGAGAGTTTGTTAAAGTGAATGAATTGTTAAAGCGCAATCGTGTTGGGTAATTCTACAAGTAATATCTGGCATTGTGAAACGACGTGCGCATTGAACAATTGTAAAAATTTGTACTTATATTCTATTCAAAAATACAGTCCCAAGTGTGAAGTGTCTTGAATTGTGCGTCGGCAACCATGCAACGTGACTTAAATCGCTGCACTACGTTTTTTCCTGGTAGCAAAATCAAAAATTTAAAAAGTCAAATATAAAACTGCGTATGTAGATTTCAGAGAACGTATGTTGCCACGCTTTTGTAAACAATAAATAAATTATATGGCACTCCAGTATATAAAATGACAGAAGTTTCCTGTAAGATATAAGACAATTTCCTGCGAAGATATTTTGTTAAAAATTTCTGGCAGCGCGATGCTCTGGCGCTGCCGGTCATTGCCATTGGTCGAACCCTTAAGGCCCATACAGACCGGACGCGATTCGTTATCGCGACGCGAATTTTCAATTTTCAATGACATTTAACTTTACTATTTTTCCATGTTTTTTAAATATTCGGAACCACTTAAGCAATTTTAGCTATTTGGTCTGCATATCTTGTAAAATTTTTATCCGTTGACGGTTTTATTTGATTTTAAAAACCGAAAATTCGCGTCGCGTTGTAAAATCGCGTTTGTGTGGGCCTTAATAGTTACAAGGTGAATGCGGCAATTGTAGAATCGGCCTAGTTCTAGCCAGGAGAAATTAAACATTCTATACTTATTAAAGTACATATTAAATGCACACACCCTCCTCCGCACATATCAGTATAGCTATTGTATTCAGTGCATTGAGCCTGTTTGACTTGGTATAATGATTGACTTGGTACAATGTTTGACTTGGTACAATGTTTGACTTGGTATATTGTTTCGTAAAGGGTGCATCACGCTTCAATGCAGCAAATATGGCAGAAAATTGAGGGAAAATACGATGCTAAATGTGGTGATAAGAAATAAATATATAAAGTAGCAACAAGAAATCTTACTTGGATTTTTTCTGAATTCTTCATTGTCCTTTTTTCGTTTGAACTTTCGGCGACTCTCAGTCAAAAGAACAAGAGTTAGAAGCAGCAATGCAACAAGATACCTTCTCGTTTGAACAGACATATAGTGATTCTTTAGTTTTGGCTTTGAAAAGTTGACTGTTCCGTTCTGCACCAACGCTCGCTGCTCTCATTAATGGCACCTTGGAAGCATGACCTTTTTATAAAGGATGATTTAAGTAGCATTAAAAGACCCTCTTAAAATGACGGCGATAAAATGTGCATCCTGTCATGCATTTAGAAAGAAAGACAGACTTTTGGCTTTAACTTGAGAATTGTGTGCATCATTACAAGTACAGATTAAAGGATGTTATTCGAGAAAACGCTTGTCAACATTGACATTGTCATAATGTTTGAGAACTATCGGAAACTGATTAGAAAAAGTCGATATATATGTAATAGATATAAAGATTAAAGCAGGAATGCTTTATCAGATATACAAAAATACAATATACAGTACAAAACTTTATCCTCACATACCAAAAAAGAAAAACACATGACATATTATGTTACAAGTATGAGTGCTACAGTATAAATAAGTAATGAATGATGTAAATAAATTATTAATATATCGCAAAATAAAGGATTGACGGTTCGTGGTACACATGCACAGTGGATTGGTTATGAAACGTAATGAGTTTGTAAAACACCATTCAAAAACTCAATAATTCATGAAGCAATTATCCAATCTTGAGTAAGAAATTAGTCACGTGCATACGTCTTTATACCAGCTAAAGAACACTTTAACAAAAGACCATTGTTATGCAAACTATATAAAGATTTTTATATAAAGATTGTCAGTTATATAAAGATTTTTATATAAAGATTTGACGTATTATGCAAACGTTTTTGAAGTCATTTAAAAAACTCGCAGGTCGTGTTTTATTAGGTCTAAAGCCACTCGCGCTGCGTGCTCGTGGCTTTAAACCTAATAAAACACTCCTGCTCGTTTTTTAAATAGTACATCAACAGCATCATAATTCATAAGGTATACAAATATTAGTGGGGCGGATAAGTGAAAGTATTCTGCATTTGGTGAAGAAAACACCATTTTGACAGGATGTGTAGACTTTGACACAAGTATATGATATTATCATAGATATCTTATATCTTATATAGATATCTTAGACTAGATAGCGCATCTCTTTTAGTAAAATTGAAGCCAAGAATATTCCAGCAGTTACACCATTTGAATAGATGGCGGCCATGTTGGTGTTTCCCACTCGCTAATAAACGCTTAAAAAACAACAACTTTCATCATTTGAATAGTTTAAAAATGTATTTGGAATAGGTTTACCTTAATGTTTAAGTTCCGTGTTTAAGAAATAGAAAACATACGAATCTTCTCATTTCATGGGAATATCCTGAGTCTGCAATCACGGCTTCAATTTTTGAATTGCAGAATAATTAGATGCACTATCTAGTGTATATAAGATATCTATGGATATTATTGATATACGGATGCAACTTGACCTGAAAAATACAAGCAAAATTTCGACGTTTCGAGCCCTTCGTATGAAATTACTCGACAAATTTAAACAATTGTATTTACCATATTATGTCAAGCATCCAACTATTTAAGAGTCAATTTTTTTCAATGTCGCGTATTTGCGATGCAAAGTGTTCAAAACCTAAAATCCTTTTGGCGTTCCTCTCAAAATTACTTTGTTTTAGCTTTATTCTGTAGTTTTCACAGTTAGCAACCTTTGTAAATGTATCTGGCGGTTCAGAAACGTAAAATAATAGTCAAACATTGTCAATTTAAATACAATTATCATTGATACTGTAAATTGACGCCATATATTTATACAGCGATATAAGCAAAACTGACTGAACTTCAGACATCATTTTCTCTTTGGCGTACCATCTAAAATCTCTTCATTTTAGCATAAATCTACGAATAAAGCATCAAACATACTTTTTAAGGGACTGGTCATAAAGTAACTGCTAGGGTGGGCTGGAGGTAAATCGCAAATTTTGCCAATAATTTCGGTGACCCATCTTAGGATGTAGATAAAAATTTCAAAGCCCATCTAATCTTACAAAAAAAATTTCATGACCCACCCAATCTAAATTGGGAAAATACACTTTTATAATAAAAAAAAACTTGCAGGTATGAACATTGTAAATATACACCGGCACTGTATTGGCATACGTAATTCCACCAAGCTTGACCAACACATTCATCACCAATAACGATACTGAGCTGCTCTCCATTTGGCTGTATTTGCTGTGATTCGACCACCACGTTTATTTTTATTATTAATATCTTTATTTTTTGAAGTAGACATGCATGGGTTTTTGTTTGATGGCCCAACCGTGGACATACAAAAAAATTGGCGACCCATCGAAACTGCCCAAAGATTTTTCCATGGCCCATCCCAAATCACTCCAGCCCACCCATTGAACTATAAATAAACTGGAAGGCTAACTGCTATGATGAAGGCCTATGATTTGATGAAGCCGAAATAGTTTTTCTGAGTTATGAGCAGAAATACTTGACCCCAAACGTTGGGCTATATATCAAATTGAAGCTATTGAAAATTGCTATTCGGTGTGGAAATTTCAAGACTTCAGTGAAAAGAAAAATATTTAAAAAATACAAAAACAACTGCAAAACGGCAAATTTTCGGTAATTATGTTTGTAATTTTTCAATATTTCCCTTTTAGCTAAAGTCTTGAAACTTCTACACCAAATAGCGTTTTTCAATAGCTTCAATTTGATATATAGCCGAACGTTCAGTGTTGAGTATTTCCGCTCATAACTCAGAAAAACTAAAATACACTGGCTTCAATTTCCCCCCCTGAGTTAGCCTTCCAGTTTATTTATAGTTCAATGAGCCCACCCTAGCAGTTACTTCATGCCCGGTCCCTAAGTTTGTTTGCCGCTCGAGAAACGTATCAAAAATGTAAAAAATTGAAACCAAGTGGAAAATCATATTCATCAGTTTTGAGCGCGTATTACGTGACATATAAAAGATTCCCCTCTTAATAATTCAATGAGCTGTTATGATACACGTTTCCGATTGGGCTTTGATGGTGAAAAAGAAACACGAGAAAAGTCTGAAATTGCAGTGGTATTGTGTCGTCAGGCATTCAAAAACTCGAGCAAAAACTTACATCACTCTCATAG